CAGCAAAAACATTCAGTTAAAAAGAAAAAGAAAACGAATCCCAGACAGCTTTAAAATGAAAGGTCAGAGCAGGGTGACAAAAACGTTCTCATTATTTGATGTTGTCTGTGCTGCTGTTCATATGGCTTGGATTCAGTGTCCAATGGCATTGGCTACATTAGTCCTGTTATCTGTATTTAATTTTAATGCAAGCATGTATAAACTAAATAAAACATAGATCTTTAATTATGCATTTATTACCAATAACGAATATTCTGCCAACAACCTTCTGATATTTCATAGGTGTGTATTTTCCAAGTGTCGGCAATGACTAATTAATAGGTGAGAGGAAACCTTCACTGTCTTTCTGGACTCCTTGAGTCTTTTGCCAAATCAGATTCAGTCTAATAAAATTCTGGCTTGCATCCATTCACAGTAAGGCGCTTCAAAAACATCCTGTTTGACTGCAGAAGGCAGAAGAAAATAAAAGTGATGACTCTACATTCTAGCTTAAGAAAAATGCTCCTGTGCAGTAATCTAGACTAAATCATTAGAGCCACACTATAAATAAAATGTCCATCTCTCAGACCTGATTCCCCTCTTGTCAGAGTAATAGATGACTCCCTCCAGTGGACGAAAACTGAAATACTCCAAAAATGACAGCTACTATGAAGCATAAAAATGACTGTTCAAAGTGCACGTCATGTTGAAAACCTCAGGTAAAAACTGACTGGCCTCTAAATATATCTATAGAGGATGCTACTGTTGCCCATCTCTTAAAAGTATATATTAAAACCTTAAGGTGAGAAGTGAATTATGAAGTAAATTATTTATTAGTTACAGAGATATGGTCCAAAAAACCCAGAGTTGGAGCTTAAACTGGAGAATCAGTTGGCAAAATAAATGGCTTTTCCTCCAAAGTCTCTTTCAAGTTGCACAATTCATACTTGTACACAAGATTTCACAAATACGCACTCCGGGTAATCGTTGTTCAATTTCACTCTGACAACTAAAAAAAAGCTGGGGTGGGGGGACGATTCCAAAGACTCATAGCACTCCTCTTTTAATTTTGCATTCACACGTGCATCCAGTGGGTCTGGGATGTGGGTTGAGCTGCACGTCAGGAGCGCTGGGCTCTGGTTTCTCAAAGTGTAGCTGGACTTTGCATAAAGTGTTTTTAAATCTCCACACTCACCACCAGCTACTGACAAAACCTCTTCCTTTTCTTGCTGGTGTGACAGACTCCAGAGGTATGGTTTAGTGCTGCTTCACTGTGACAAGTCCCATGATTTAAGAGTGTCCAAAAGGATAGGGCTCCTGTATACCCTGTGAGGACGGAGGGGAAATGATGAAAAACAACAGACAGGAAGGCTGCAAGACATTTAGGACACAAGTTAAACAAGACAGATAAAGATCTTACTGAGTCATGGGTTTGTACGTACTGCACTACATGTACAGTCAAAATGTCGGCTGTAGAGCTGAAACGGTCGACTCAATGATTAGTCGATTGACAGTTAAGTTAGTGGGTGTTCAGACGTACTTTAACGCAGGAGGCTGTGTTGGTAGGGACAACTCGATGTGAGTGGCTTCATTCATGTTTCCAGCCTGTGAGGTTCTGTTGTGTCTTGGTCAGCCATGCTGCTAACGTAGTCTACTTTATGTTGGCACCAATTTCTACTAGTGTGTTGGCACTGATTGGTTAAAAAAAACACAGTTTAACATCCAATAGCCTACTAATGAAAACACATAGTGTGTCATTATGGTGCATTTGTGGCTGTGGCCCAAATTCGGGATTGAATAGCAGTGAATGCTCATGCTAACAGGATGAACAAGAGATTTCTTCCAGTGAGTGTGCACACTATCTGTCCCCCGCATGAGACTGGTCACATCATCTAGTTCAGCAAAAGTTTAACAAGATCCAATTTTTTCACCGTACAGGGCTGTGTCGTTTTGCTGAAGCCCCTTGTGGTGCTAGTGCTGGCTGCGGTGAACGCAGTCCCCCACAGAAATGAATGGACAGGGCTGCAAAGGTCTAACTGTTTTTAGAATTGATTAATCATTTTTTAATGCAAAACTCCTGAATATCCCAGCTTCTCTAGTGTGAGGATTTGCTGCTTTTCTTTGTATTATACACTAAGCAACTAATTGATTAATTGAGAAAATATTTTGCAGATAAATCAATAATGAAAACACTGGTCAGTTCTAGCTCAGCAAATGAATTAATATGACTTTAGTGAATCCTTGATTTTTTTTTCTTAAGCACCACCATGATACCCCTCCTTGAACCGCCACCTTATTGTGGTGGAGGGGTTTGAGTACCCGAGTGATCCTAGGAGCTATGTTGTCGGGGGCTATATGCCCCTGGTAGGGTCTCCCAAGGCAAACAGGTCCTGGGTGACGGGTCAGACTAAGAGCGG